ATTTCCCAGATTATCACGTCACATGCACTCCCAAGACTGTCTTATTCGTGCCAGAAGTTTAAACGTTGGCCAAGGCATTGTGCTATCTACTTGTTCTCTCCATAAACCCAGTAATTCTTTCAACGGCAAAATTATGGGCTTGGTATACCGGTGAAGATACATTCTTGCCATGTGCCCAATGAAGTGTGCACCTACCAGTATAGAAAACAAGGAAAACCTGCTGGCTTCAATGAATTACTCGGGCCTCTGTGGCGGGACCAAAAATACGTCGATAGATGACTTTTTCTGTGCAGGTTGCGAATGGCTGTTCCATTTTGAGTTTTTACGGGCACAGAGGGCGTAATTTTTGTTCCATTGATCCTGAAATCATGTCAAGCACTTTCACCAACTATCTCTTCATGAAGGCGATACGTTGGGCCAGCAACAGCAGTCCAATTAAGAATTTGGCGCCCATAGTGGACTTGGAGTACGTTTGAAAAACTTCCAAGTAATCTACGAGTGCATTTGGAGATTTTACGGGGTTGGACTGATACCATCGAATACTGAAAATGACAATAAAGAACCCTTCCTTCTGACTACGGTTTCATAGAAATTTGAGGTGTAGGTCCAAGGGTTCGGAGCCACGAATAAGCAACCATCCTTAAAATTGTAACGGGCGGTGTATTTGGACACAGTTCTAAAAAATTCTTGAATGTCTTCGACAAATTGCACACTTTTTTCGTTAGCGGATGTAATAATAGAACTATTACACCTGAATAGAGAGATGTCACGCCCACACGCCACATCTGGAAGAAACTGCAGAAGCACGCAATAGGTCAGCGAAAGAATGCGATTTAATCATTCTTGTTTCACGGATTCACGGAATGATACACAAGTTTCTCGGGTCGGTTTTGTTCTTGTAATCATTCTGTTTCACGGATTCACGGAATGATACACAAGTTTCTCGGGTCGGTTTTGTTCTTGTCGGTCAGTGGCTGTCGTTCACCTCAAAGGGACAAGTGAAAAAAGGGTGTAGCACCGCTCTTTTATGTTCTCAGCGCGGGGCAGTATGCTCGCCAGCGCGAGGATTCGCATAAATAAATGTCTAATAGTTCTTTAAATTGGGTTCTAGAAGGAGCGTGTACAACCGTCGGAGGAAGGCCATTCCACACAGCTACTACCCGAAATGAGAAAAAATTTTGTCTAA